CCCCAAAACCCCAAAACCCCAAAACCCCATGTACTTGATTTTCCGATGAAAATGATGAAATAAAGATTAAGTCAATCATAAAATTTTAGTTATAATCATTTTAGCTTTTTGAGAATTGATTTTTTCTCTGATTTCTCGCTCTTTTCCTGAACTTAAAGTGGTTGCACAAATTTAATGATTTGCTGCTATTCACCTTATTTGCTATCATGACCATCCTCGCACTTTATCAGATTGGTATTATTAGGTTGTCTTGCAGTCTAAGGAATCTTTATTATAGGGATAGGCTTCTTAGAGTACTTCTGTGCATTAAGTACTTCCTATAATTACAACTTATCTTTACTTTCATCTGCTCTTTACAGTATATTCATTTGACTTATCATTGGATAGGCGAAATTCCTGGGAGTTTTACTACCTCCTGTCTAGAATCTATGCTAAATAACTTAGTTCATGACGTTTGATTATGAATTTTCATTGCTGTCTTCATTGTATAATAGAGTAGAGGCTCTAGCAGTAAGATAGGGATTTCCTATTGTACTATTAGTTGCATTTGACTTCAATGATAAGCTAGTTCCTAAAGCTGGAATACCTCTAAAAGTGTTTGCTCTAATTTGACTATGATCTGAAATAAATGCTGTTGTTTAAGGTCTATCAGTTGGAACTAATCCTGTCGGTTTGATCTAATTCTGAGGTGCTTCTCTCTAGTAGCTTGAAAAAGCAGACATTTGGATGTTTCTAGCTCCAGCTCTTGAGGTAGTTTTGGCTCTAAGATTAGTATGCTTTTTTGCGATGCAATCTAGATTAACAACATTAGCTTTGATGTCAAAGTTGTTGATGTTGATGCTTTAGAACTTCTCACTAGGATTCTTAGTCATAGTTCTATCTTAGCCAGATAGGAATTCATCATATGTTGTGAGTGTTGCTTGTGTATTATTAGAATTCATCTTTTGCATATCATTAATTGATGCAAATTCTACTGTTGCAGCTTACAATTTGTTTTCACTTTACAGCCTTCTCCATTCTAAGAATCTAGCTGAGGCATCATTTACTAGTTGTAGTGTATTTCTATATAGACTTTCTCTTGAGCATGTAATGCTGTTATAAGTTACTGGCTAGGGGGAGTAGCTTAGACATGCCATTTTAAATGCATTTATTACTATAGAGGCCTGTCCAGAGCAACTTAGGCATTATTTGTCTAGAGTAACTGCTACCTTGTCCTAGTGATTAAGATGCTGGTTTGGTGATAACTGAGCTTGGGTTGTCTATTACTGCTAGTTATGAGCATGCTTTTCTTGATCTGACTAAGATTTATAGCCAATTAGAGAGATAGATTTTCTATCCTCCTCGTCTTACTCTCCCAATTTCAAGATAATTTTAATAGACTCAGCAAGGTTTTACGTGAGCTAGGCTATTGATTCAGTGAAATTCTTTATTAGCTTGAAAGACTATTTGGCTTTGTCAAGTTGGTCTTGCATTATTTTAATTTTAAGATCAAAGTCAGTTTTATCTCTTATTCTTCGCTTGAGTTCATCTTCAGCATCCTTCTAAATATTGGAGGAGGTTATCTAAATTTTAGCTATTTCTTTAGACACCAAATTCTAAAGCTCATCAACATTGTCATCGATTGCATCTTTCATCTTTGATTCAGCTTATTCCAGTCTTTCAAGTCCCTTGGCCCCAATTTCTTTGAACTACTTGGCTGCTTCAAATGACTCTATTATCATATCCTTAAGAGTCTTATCCAGGTGAGTTAACTTTATCAGTTTTCTATCAGTACTGGATGAGCTAACACTAAGCTTATTTCTTTCATAATCATCATCGTCAAAGGCATCTTCATCATCTTCATTTATGTTACTCTGGTTCTGCTAATACAAATTACTAGACTCTCTTTTGATCATTACTTATTTTTTATCTTTAGTCTTTCCACCGTCATCTACGCGGATTAAATTGCTTCTTAAATTATTCTTATCTTTAGTTCGCTTCAATGGGCTTAGAGAAGACCCATTGTTAGCATTCTCCTCAATCTCGATTTTCATGATTTTGACAGTTTTCTTGGGTGAAATCTTGCGAGTTACAGAGCGCATTAGTGATGGTTGCTTTATTAATAGTGTTCCAGGTCTCTTTTGCTCAGTTAGTCTTCTTGAACATGAGGATTTTGGGCCACTACTAGATCTGTTTAATTACTAAAAGGCATGTATATTGGTAACTTGCAAAGTCTGCTTAATTGACGAAAGATTCTTAAGATTTTCAGAAGTAAGCTTCATTTATTGCTATGGACTTGAAGGAATCACATTTGGTAAGGGCATCTAAAGACTTTTAAAATTACCTTCCAATCCCCTTCCAGGCGACAAATCACTTTCATAAAACTCCTCTTAAGTATTCTGCTCTCGACTGCCAGTCATCACAGGAACAAAGTTTGTTTTGGGGTCTAGTCTGATATTTATAACTCCCATGTGTTGATCCTCAGTCAACTCTGGATAGTATATCATATAGCTTTTCTTTTTTACTGCAATGTTTTCCATGCCTTACATTGTATTATTCTCACTGCTATTGTCTTTGTTGAATTCATGAATACCACTTAATCCTGAAATGCTTTTCGCTCCATTAACTTAGGATGTTTTACTTCCCTCCTCATTGATCATTTCAATTGTCCCATCTCTTCTAAAATGATGGCCATAACCCTTTTTGCTGTTTTTCTCACTGTCGTCAAAAAAGCTTTCAACACTTTTATGATTATCATAATGAGACTCTGCCTTGCTGTTTTAATGCATGAAATTATGAGACATTATTCCTCCAGCATTTTTTTGTATCATCAACTCTATTTTCCTTATCATCGGAATAGAGTATTCAATTTTATTAAGTTCAGGTGTACCATTATCGTTTTCAACCACATCTCTTAGTAATCTATACTTATGATGTATAAAATCATTAAGCTTCTGCAGGGCTTTCTTTGGAAGTATATTTGTTAGAGTTTCTGTAATAAAGTTTTAGACCTTTATTGGCAGATATTTCTCAACATAATTGTCAGTCTGCTTTAGAGTCATCGTGTTATCATCTATTTATACTCTTAAGAATTAAAGGTCCTTTTTAAATATGTCAAAGCTTTAAGCGAATTAATCAACATCTAGCTTTTTGTCTAGCAAACTCATTTCACTGTCATAAAGCTCCTTGATATTTCTCTTGAATATCTCAATGATTGCCTCGTGCCTCTTGAGTTCCTCTAAATGCGACTGCAACGATCCATTGATCTATGAAAAAGATTCTTGTTGCCTCATTAGCTTGAATTCCATTTGATTTTGCTAATTCATCAAAGTCCTCTTTTGATCATTAAGTCTCTCCTCTATGTCATTTTTAAGTTTAGAGTTTCTGTTAATAACCTCCTCTGTGTATTCCTAAAATCTCTGGAATCTCTTTTCATATTGAAATATCTGCTCCTCAGCAATTGTAAGCCTCTCATTATTAACCTGTAGAGCTGTCCTCATCTCTGAATGGCTCTACTAAACTCTAGCTTCTTATACTGAAAACAGCTACTTCAACTCAAGCATATCCTGCTAAAGATCACTAATGTTTCCAGACCTTTAGAGAGTCTTATGCATTATGAAGTCTAGCTCATTGAACCGTTTTATGATCATCACATTTTGATCCTTCATTTCTATAAATCTGTCCTCGTTGCGTTTGGCTCTGTCTATATATTCAGACATTACCTTGCATGATATTTCTCTGATAGTGGTTTCAATGTCAAAGTTGATAATTTCTCTTGGTGGTAATTTAGTTTGACTACTGTGGTCTTAATGCGTTTGTATTTGCTGTGATATTACAGTCTACTAAGATGATGGTTTTCGTGAATGAGAATTTTGTTGCTGATTCTATCCTGCAACTGATAAAGTGGATTGTGCTTTCAAAGCACTTGCATTTTATTTCATATTAATTCAATTTATACTTTAAGAATGAGGATTATCCAATTTAATCTGAAAACTCTAATTGACTTTTATCGATGGGGTTTTGGGGTTTTGGGGTTTTGGGG